TGTGTGTGTGTGTGTGTGTGTGTGTGTGCCTCTCTCTGCTCCGGGATCGGGAGGCGCCGCTCGCCGGCTGCCCACGTGGGGCCCCCTCCATCCCTCGGTCGGTCAGTCCAGAGGGAGCCAGGGAGGCCCAGCCAGCCGCAGGCTCAGCCCGGAGAGGAGCGGGAGCCGTGGCTGAGTGTGTGCCGTGGGAGCCCTCCCAGCGCGGGTGTGCGGGAGAATGCGGGGTCCAGGAGGCTGCGGCTGGGGCGTCTTCGGGAGCCCCTGGGCTCGGCTGCCGGGCGCCGGGCTGCCGCTGATGCCGCTGCTACAGCTCAGCCTGCTGGCGCTGCTGGTACTGCTGGGGGGCTCGGCGCGGGCGGCGCGGGGCCACGAACGCGGCCAGGGGCCCCCGCAGCCCTTCGAGCTGCTCTCCAACCGCGCCGTCGAGGCGTCCTCGGCAGGGGACTTTGAGGCCGCCGTGCGCTACCTGGAGCAGGCGCTGAGCAGCCGCCGCAGGCTGCGCTGCCGCCTCGAGTGCGGGGCCCGGGCGCCCCTGGGGACCGCGCGCGGCGGCGGCGGCCCGGCCTGGGAACTGCGCTTCTTGCGCGCCCTGCTGGAGCGGGCTCGCTGCGCGCACCGCTGCGAGCGGGAGGACGAGGGCAGTCGGCCCGTGGAGCGCCACGCTACCGCCGCCGCACGAGTCCTGAGCCGCAGCGCAGAGGACGTGCGCCTCGCCTTCCAGAAGAGGATGCCCTACAGCTACCTGCAGCAGGCCTACAGTCAGGTACCCACCGGGACGGCGCGCTCGCTCCCTTTCTCCTTTCCATGTCCCTCTCTCCTCTCCATCTCCCTCTCTCCTCTCCATCTCCCTCTCTCCTCTCCATCTCCCTCTCTCCTCTCCATCTCCCTCTCTCCTCTCCATCTCCCTTTCTCCTTTCCATCTTCCTTTCTCCTTTCCATGTCCCTTTCTCCTTTCCATCTCCCTTTCTCCTTTCCATCTCCCTTTCTCGTTCCTTTCACTTTATCTGGGGGGCGCCTCCCTCCTTCCGTCCTGATGTTCCTACTTTTCCCCATGCCCCTCAATTCTTTTTGGGGATCCCCTCCCGGCTTCCTTCCTACACCTTCCCCGAGACCTTCGACACGAGGTCCTCATCACGGTGCCTTTTTAGAGAACCGCTCAGAAACAAATTGTCACCAATTCTTTCCTGCGCTAGGAAAGATTCGAGGGGACGACCCCCTTGAAGAGGTGTATTTGAATGGGGTGGTGACTGAAGGGACATCAGAATTAAGGAATTTTCCTTCTTTGTGTTTGACCCGTTTTAAGAGAGTCCTTCGAACATTCTCATCTCTTTCCCTAGCAAATGAGAGAAAAATGAAAGGCAGCGCTGACTTGGATCTTTTAGGTGCAGAGCTGAGCTCTCTGTTGTTTGTTTTTTTTTTTTAATGGGACCTGACAGAAGCTGCCTAGAGCTTACAGCCACATCGCCGTAGTATTTGTTCCCTAATTCCTGAACGTCCACCAATTTGCAGACCTGGGGAGCCGCACTAAACTGAGTTTGATCAGAGCTCTTGGTGGTTGTTAGAAATCGAGGTTCCGCTCGATTAGAGGCTGAGGCACGGGATTCCCTTGCTCTTCTCCTCCCTCTCCTTTCCCATGTTGCTAAGGGAAACTTTTCTCATAGAGCAGCTGCTCTGTGGCGCAGGGGCAACGCCGAGGCCGTCAGCTGCGCAGTTATTCTCCAGCTGCTGGAGTCGTGGGCTGCTAAATCCACTTCAGATGCTTGCATCCTTCACTGTTTCACCCCTCAAATGTGAACTCTAGAAAGTGAGTGCCCCTCTGGAGCTGCCGCCCCTACTGAGTATTTAGAGCTATCTTGGTGGAGGTTAGGAAAAGGATGAGTTCGTTTTTGAAATGATTAAATGAAAGCTCAGGCACGGCTCAGGTAGAAAGATTCATTCATTTCATCCTTAACGTATCCAAGATAGTGACTGCACAGGGTTAGGCAGGAATAAGCCAGTGCCAGACAAGTGCGGGGGTGGGAGACACCTGGAACATAACTAGGACTTCTCTGAGTCAGGCTTTCTTCTAAGTTGAATCTATGACGTGATTGTCTGAGGGAAACCTTAAGTGGAAATAATCTGCTTTCTTTTAAATGGAAGCTTGATTTTGTGGGGATCCTGGGGAAAACAGTTTACGCCAAAGACTGTGAGTACCTGACGACTGAAAGGCTTCCTGAGTCCTCTCAAAATCGCTGCTCAGCGGAGGGTGGGGCTCGGGTCCCAGAGAAATCCCGAGGTAGGCGAGCTGCCCTCCTGCTGACTAGTCAGTAATACTTTCCAGATACATTTTTAGTTCTTGGGTCCAGAGAAGTAAAACATATTAGTGCTGAATCTCAAAAAAAATAAATAAATAAATAACTGGGAGGATTTGTCCTAAATGTGTTTTCTTTTGGTTCTATAAATAAGCTGCTTAAGGCTCTGGAGGTCAGCTGGCCCCCCGGGGGGGGGAGGGGAGCAGGCTTTCACCTCTGCTTTCCGTCGCTCTCTCTTTCATGCAACTTAAGAATGGGAAGGTAAAGCCAGATGTAAGTCGCTGACTCTTATTCATGGGGGCTGGGAAGAGGAAGGGAGGGAAGCCACAAGGGCGATAGAGTTTTTCTGGAAGATCTGTCCTATTTTAGCATTAGAGTAAGAGACGGTATGGTATAAGGAACAGAAGGGCCAGTCTTGGCGTCAGCAAGCCCTGCTTCTAACACACACTGGCTCTGACCCGAGACCCCTATTCTCTCCGTGCCCCCAAGCAATTCTTTACGATTGTAAATGTCTGAACAGTCACTCAATCTGCATTGATAGAAGGAGCTTCCAAACAGGGGTTCCTATATACTAATGAAATCATAAATTCGGAACAAACAAACAAAAAGGAGGCAATGAGTTAAATATGGTTATGCACCCCATCAGTCACCTATGTGGGAGGACTCCTTTAGGTGTGGTCTGGTGAGTCAATTCAGTTTTAAGAAGCTCTTTCATGAAAATTGTGGATTTATGTACTTGTTGAAACAGCCAGTGTCTGTATGGAAAGCTCACCACTTCAATTTCTGTTTTTTGAAGCTACTAATTTGAACAGGAGTTTCTGGATGAAATGGGGTGGGGATGCCAATAATATCTTAGGATCCATTTCAGATGAACTGTCTTCTCTGTCCTCGAAGTCTTCTACTCTTGGTATCTTTGTCTTACTTCTTGTGGCTTTCACCAGCATGTTACTTTTTGAGGAAAAATAAATACCTGGTCCAGTAGCCTCCCTGTCAGTGGCTTCCCTTGGCTGAAAGTGACTTTTTCCTTGTTGCTGGAACATAAGGTGGGCCTTGTTTCAATATCCACAGTGATGGGAGAGTCCTTTCAATGCCTGAAATCATCCTATCCTCAGGAGACCAGAACAGGCTTATCTGAGGTCAGATTAATGTCAGTCTGAGCTTTGGTTCTAGGATGGGAAAACCTGGCTACTTTATTAATAATTTTTGTACTATCCAGGAAAAAGCCTGAAGTGTATCTGGAAAAACAACAACAACTTTTTCCTCCCTCCAAGTGTCTGTATTTTTACATTCGGGTTGAAATAAGAGAGACAGAGGCACAGTTTCAATAGTTTTCCCAATTTTTTGTCTTGGTGTTGGTTTCAGTCTGAACTCAGAACCTTTCATTTTGGTCTTGATAATTTGGATGTCAAAATGAAACATTTAAAAAAATGAAATATTTGAAAAAGTTAATTAAATTTGTAGTGTGAGTACATGATACCTGGCCCTAGGTAAGTTCTCTAGATCCATGAGCCTGTTTTAGAAGCAACTGGGCCTGGAATAAGGAAAACCTAAGTTCAAATACCACCTCAGACATTTACTAACTATATGATCCTGGGTAGGTCACTTCAGATCTGTTTGCCTTGGTTTCCTCAACTGTATGAGGATAGAAATAACATTGTGTGGATCAAAAGGGGTAATATTTGTAAAAGCACAAACATAGTGCCTGCCACATAATAGTCTAGTTATAGATGTTATATAAATACAAATACTTACTCCTACCTCCCTTTCCTCCCCTCCCTTCCTGTTGGCACCTGTGAGTCTGGGAAAGGATTTGGAGAATAGTCAAAAAATCTGAGAGAGAGAGACAGAGAGAGAGAGAGAGACAGAGAGAGAGAGACAGAGAGAGAGAGACAGAGAGAGAGAGACAGAGAGAGAGAGAGAGACAGAGAGAGAGAGAGAGACAGAGAGACAGAGAGAGAGAGAGACAGAGAGAGAGAGAGAGAGAGAGACAGAGACAGAGAGAGAGACAGAGACAGAGAGAGAGACAGAGAGAGAGAGAGACAGAGAGAGAGACAGAGAGAAAGAGAGAGAGAGAGAGAGACAGAGAGAGAGAGAGAATCAGGATGAGAGTTGAGCAGAACTTTTCCTCCTCTTCTTCCTCCTTCTTTTCTTCCACCTCCTTTTTCTTCCACCTCCTTTTTCTTCCTTTTCCTTCCCCCTTTTTGCCGCCCCTCCCCTCCACATGTTTCTGCCAAGGACAATGCAAACAGAGTATTCAGGAAAGCATTCTATGTAGACAAGGTCTGCTGCCCTTCACTCATCAGCCACCAGAACATTATTTTGATGTTCCCCTAAAATAGTCTCATGAGTGCCCTAGCTAGGGCCTGAGCCTGAGCATATCTACTTAGCCAAGTAGTCAACAAGCCTTTTGATGTGTGCTGGGGGATCTAAGAAAGGCTAAAGCCAGTCCCTGCTCTCAAGGAGCTCACAGTCCAGTAGAGGATACAACATGCAAACCATACTGTATAAACAAGCTGGAGACGTGATAAATAAGAGATAATTTTGGAGGGAAGGTCCTAACAGAAGAGAGATCAGAAGAGGCTTCCTGCAGAAGGTGATGCTTTCTGCCAGCATTGTGGCTTACTGACGACTTGTGGGTGTATTTCTGAAGAGCTAACAGTTTTACAGTGACATGTAAATTAAAAATGATTTTGCTTTATGTTCTGGGTGTCCAAGACGAAAGTTGAGTGATGGTCACTGACCTGCAGACAAGGTGATACAAATGTGATGGCCCCTAGGGAAGGGTATGACTTAGAAGGAGTGATTCGTGAACTGGTGTGAATGCAAAGGGCCAGATATCTGTCCCCACATAACCAGGGAAGGCATCCAGAGAGTAAAGATGGATCTGGCCCTTCATGATAGCCATGAGGTATCAATCCAAAGATTAGATGAACACATAGGAAGGCAGTCCAGAACAGATGGGAAGGGCTAGGAAGTGGGAGTGGAAGGAGTGACTTACATTTTAATATTAATAAATGTATTAATATAGTGATTTAAAATCTGCAAAGAACTTGACATAGATTGGTTCACTTGGGCCTTGACCATATGAGGTAGGTACTAAGGAAGCACCATTTTACAGGTGAGGAATCATAAGTCTCAGAGAGGTAAGTTAACTTGCCTAGAATCTCACAGGTAGTGAGTGTCAGAGACAGCAACAGAATCTAGGTCTTCTTGACTCCTGATCCCAAGATCAATTTTATCTGTTAAGCAGCTCTGCTTCTCAAGTTGTAAGGGAAGAGAACGTGTGATCTCCCTCCCTCCCTTTTACGTTCCTTCCCTCTCTCCCCACCCCAGCTCAATTGATAGAGTCACAAATGATGAGGTCTTAATGTGGTAAAATGATGTTAACTACAAAATTGTGGCAATACCTTTAAAAGTTATGAACAAGGTGCTTGAGTGAATCAAAAGAGGCCCCAGAAATCTGTCTTGCTCC